TTAATTGCAAGTTTCTGGTGAAGGCACTGGCAAAAATAAATACTCACTACAATAGATATTCTGAAATAGATCTTATATTCCAGGTTATGCCAGAGCACAGACATGACCAGACAGTCTCAAGCAAATGTATTAAACTGCTTAAAGAAGTTAGAGATATGACAACCGACTACATGCATGCTTTTGCCCTGTATTAGGGGACAGGCTGAAACTGTGTTGTCTTAGCATGCCCTGGAAATGAGTGGTATGGGTGCAGGACAGAAGTACAAGACATTCTAATTAATGCTACAGTGAGATAAGAGAGACCAGACAAGTATACCTTAAAAATCTCTACTTCATTTTCTCAGTAAAAAGAAGTTCCCAACAGAAATTCAAATTCATATAAAGAAATAACTATTACATTTTTTGTTGTCCTTGAACATGACAGATACAGAGAATTACTAAGACCCAAATCTTTATTCTGCATATACTTCTCATATTAAGATTTAAGGGCACTCTGTCCTTTACTTCAAATGCTGTTCAGACTTATTGAAGGAAAAAAGCACTCTACCTGTTTGTTTTTTTAAGAAAACTTAAGTTTCAGAAACAAATCTCTAGCTGGTTTTAGTTTCAAAGGTTTTCTTGGTATCTTATTCAAGACAAACTTAAGTGCTTTGTGCAAACCTCTGATATCTTTAAGATCATAGTACCCACAGAATCACAGAATGGTTGAGGTTGGAAGGGATCTCTAGTGATCATCTAGTCCAACCCTCCTTCTCAAGCAGAGACAGCTAAAGCACGTGGCACAGGGTGGCATCCAGTAAGGTTTTGAAGATCTCCAGAGAATGAGACTCCACAACCTCTCTGGACAACCTGTTCCACTGTAATCCTGTACTCACTGAGTTTCACTTTCTTTCATGAAACACTGAATAGTTCCTTTCAGGGCATATCTGCTAATTAATCATCTTTTTGCTCAGTAGCTCTACTCCAGGCTTGACCCCATAGCCATCATTCATCCAAGTTGTCCTGGGCCAAACTGGGACAGGTCAGTGAAATGGGTTCTGTCCTTAGTAGCTATGCTTGTATCTGCAGAACATTCAATTTTTTTTTTCTTCCCTCTACTCTCCTCCCCCAAATTTTGGAGGAATGTGATATGAATATATGAAGTGATGCAGTAGTGCTTTCTATAAGACTTTTCTGTGCTCAGAATCATACTAATTTAACTATGGGTTAGTTTCGTTAGTGCGGTACTGTTACCTTTTCCCCCCTCAACACCTGATCCCCAGAAAGGCATCACACCAATATAAGCATGCACAGCTGTATATATTAGCACAGGTATTTTTGCAAGGGAAGAAGAAGAAGAAACTATAACTAAAGGGTAGTAACTAAACTGAAAGATTTGCTCTATTAATGTCTGTTGGACTGCTATATCTTTTATTCAAAGCAAAGAAAAGATCAATTGACACTTGTAAAGAATATAACCCTAATAACTATAGAACAAATTCTGTATGGGCAGCCCTGTAGCTGCTGGCAGCCTAAACCAATTCTCCTCCTCTCAGCAGAATGAGAGGTTAAAGTAAAACCAAATAGTGCTGTAATTTACATTATCACTGCTAATCAAAGCACTAGCTAATTTCAACTTAGAGAAGGATTTACTCCCCACAGAGTTTTGAAGCTTACAGACTTGTTGCTCGCTTTGAAAAGCACATCAGAGAAATCAGCTTCTGACAACACAGCCACTTGAAGCATCACAGTCTTTCTATACCTTGCATGCTTGATGCAAGTTGAGGTTCAGGACACACAGATTTAATAGGTGGAACAGAGAAGAAATGAAATTACATGAAGATGCAGTGACCTCAGATGTATTGTGTCTGCTGAGGGGTGCAGGTCTCAGCAGTGTGATATCTACCTTCACTAGTCTGGGCAGAAAGAAAATACATGAGGCCTGAAAGAGCTGCATTTCTGGAACAAGAACATGGAGATGTTTAAATAAAAAAGTAATATATCTTATACCCTTCAAATTTACTTTTTCACAGCTAATTCATAGGCCAGATCTCTGGGTTTCAGCACTAACTATAAACATCATTTTTTCATCTTCAACATCTAGTTAACTCTTTTATTCTTACATGTAGTAGCAGGTCTAGCATAACATCTCACAGAGCTCCCTAGATTATCTAGGCATCTTTCATACAGATGAAAATACACCAAATTAATACATTCAATAATGAGTCATTTGTTACTTGGGATTGTCTTTCCATTAAGATCCTTGCAGAGTAGCTGGATATGCAGCAATGTTCAGATATGGTTCCAATACAGACATCTAACCTCTTTATCAGAACATTGTTGTTTTTCGAGAGTTGTTTCAAGAGGGTTTTTTAAAAAAAAAATTATTCTCAGACTGATCTGGAGTAGACATACCTCAGCCTGCCTGGCATCTAAAAATGCGTATTGATTATAACCTCTTTCTTCTTTTCACATGAACCTTATTCCACCATAATACCTGGTAGAGATGACCATTCAGATACCAAAGGGAAGACTTGTTTCCTTTACATCTTTCTATCTTTTTTTTTTCCCTCCCTAAGGAAGCTCTAGGAAAAAAAGATGTTTTCTTTTTTCTTCTTAAAAAAAAAGTCAGCTACAGTGGCTCAATATTAGTCCTACTTTGGGGGAAAAAAAAGTTATCCATATTTAAAAGACTTTTTATGGGGAAAAATAACAAAAATCCAATGAAAGCATTTATTTCTGAAGGTCAGCAAGTATCCAAGCCAGTCCCTGAGGGGTGCCTTTGACTTTGTCAGTCTGCAGTGAGAACTCCTGCCTCTGCAATTTCCATTAAGTAGTCTTGTTTGGCTTCGTAATCATTTGGACTTCGTCCAGAAATTGAAGCCAGAGTTGAGGTCCTCCTTTTGAAGGAGAAAGTTTTTTCAGCACACAAGATGAGTTGGTTTTTGAATAAACAAAAGCTAATGAATAAGGAAATGGGTCTCAGAATTTACCAACAACCTATGAGAAAACAGGACAAGTTCTGATGTCAGTAAAAGTTATGAACATCCTTTCTTTTCCTCTCTTTTACATATCATATTCACTTCTTATTTGCTTCCGTGGCACAGAGCAAAACATTCAAGGCATTTTTTGAGGTTCTGATCTGAAGAGCTCTTCCCCTCCCATTCCTTGTTCCACTAAGTCTCTTCAGCCTCAGAATCATATCTTCTGTTCTTGTGACAGCTGTTAAATAAGCAGGCCCGGGGACACGTGGCCTCTTCTTGTGCCTTTCATACTAGTGTTAAAAATCTCAACCTTTCCTGCCTTTCTTTTCACAAATCAGTTTTCTCTCTCCCTCACATTCATTCTTTCTCCCTCCAGAAACCTCGCTAAGTCAGTTTTTTTTCCCCCTGCCCCTTCTCTTCTTCCTTGCTAGTCCATGGCTCTCCTTTCCACTCTACAGCACGGCAGGAGTTTTTACAACTCTATTTTTGCTCCACTGTATGGTCTCTGCCATGACAGAAAAACATACCAAGTTTTTCTGTGGATCAGAAGCCTTGCATCATGTCTGTCCTCTAGTTAGTTTGGAGTAAAATTTCATGTCTTCATTCTAGATATCTGAACTTCAGCATCTCACCCCAAATGGATGTTTACCTGAGGTCCCTCTTAGGTCCTCAGAGGAAGAACCTCTACAGAACAATTCCTCCCACACTGTCTTTCTAGAGCAGGTAGGATGAATCACACTGTGAAAGAGCCCAAAATGAAAGTTTGGCTGGAAGCTGTCATCTTTGATGCCTCAAGTTAGGTGGGAATTCTACCATAAGTGTATTCAAAAGGTAAGTTATCCTCACAGCTTCCTTCCATCATTCTTTCAAATCCCTGTCTCAGTTTCATTATTAGCTTTACCTTTATCTTGAATCCTTAAATCTTCTCTTCTGCGAGGTTCAGCTGGTATTTCTGAAACCAGAAGCTTTGACGAATATTACTGCAAAGAAGATGCATCTCCCAGAGGCTCAAATCCTGTCACTTTTGCTGTCCTCTGTCCTGGGAAATCCACAATACTGCCTCAGGAGCCAACATCACTTTCTCTTTCTAGTCCTTAAACCACAGAAAGAAAGGATGAAAACCCTCCAAACTTCCTACACTGAACTCCTACACCACCTTCCTTATTTCTTTTAAGATCAGCATCATGGCAACTAGCATTCCTCATCCTTCTTCTGTGAGCAGAGGAATTGGTTCAGAAGCACTCCCCTATTGAGATCCAAATTTGCATTCTTCTAAAATAAGTTGAACTGCTCTCAAAACGCCTGGAAATGTTTCAGCAAGTTCTGAAAAAAATAAGTAGTTCATGTATAAATAATATATCAGACATCACTACATTTTTAATGGAGGCATCATGAATATGTTTTTAGATGAACTAGGCTTGTCAAAATGACTCTGGCATCTGCTTCTTCTTCCCAGATACGTGACACCAGTTTCATAGTTGTGTGTCCATCTAAAACACCTGCTTGAATATGGTCTCTCGAGCATCACTTTCCCATACAGCTTTGCTGTGGTACAGGAGCTCATCTATTGTACCAGCAAGTCCCTAATGTCACTGGGAAAACTCCAGGGGAAAGGTGCCATCTGTAGTGATACCTAATGCCTCCAGCACTCCCTATGCAGCTCTTCTTAAAAAACACAGCGCATTAGAGATGTCAGTTTAAATCGGATTATATGCTGATGACAGCTTAGACTTGTTCCTGTCCCCGTGAAATAAGGGTCACAACATGGACGTTACAGGACGTAGGAGCCAGTCACCATGACAGAGGCACCGCTCTGAGCATGAGCATGCCTAGCGGAGCTGTCCTGTGCCGTTCAGGAGCTGCGCTCACGTGGACTACTGCTCCAGAAGAAATGACTGAGAACTGGTGAAGACCAGGCCCCTTTCTGCCATTGGGCCATCCACCGAGCCCTCTCCCCCAGGCTTTTCCCTCCCTCCCGCACGTGCTGGCGAGGCCAGTTCCTTGGGCCTGCGCGAAGCCCCCAGTGTGCTCACTTACTCCTCCTTCCTGTGCAGCTCCTCCTCGGACTCGCTGAGGCGCTGCTTGAGGGCTGCAATCATCTCCACTGCGACATCCACCTGCCTGCTCAGGGCACGCTCCCGCCGCTGCACCTCCTGCTTCTTCTGCGAGAGCTGCACGAAAGCTGCTCGCACCTCCAGCAGCTCGGCCGTTTTGCGGGCTAGCTCCTGGGTGAGCCTCTCGATTTTCTTCTCGATGGTCTGGTCCACGGCCTCCACCATCCTGTTGAACTTCTCCCTGACGTGCGCCTCCAGGGCGGCCTTGGGCTCGCCGCCTGGGAAGCCGGGCTCGGCGGCATCGGTGGGCCCGTAGTCGGCCAGGCGCGACGCCCGGCTCTCCG